AAAAGAGTTGAAAAGCCAAATAGATGACTCCACACTCATAGTGGGAGACTTTAATACACCACTTTCTTTGAAAGATAGAACAACTGGAAAGAAACTCAAAAAATGAGCAATCAATATTTCTTCAAAGAAGATACACAAATGGCCAATAAGTACATGAAAAGATGCTAAAGGGAAATAAAAATAAAAGTCACAATGAAATATCACTTCACACTCTCTAGAATGGCTATTATCAGAAAATAACAAGTATTGGTGAGGATGTCAAAAAACCAAAATTCTCATGCATTGCTGGCAGAAAGGTAAAATGGTGCAGCTGCTGTGGAAACAGTTTGGCAGTTCCTCAAAAAGGTAAATATTGATTGCCATATGACCCAGCAATTCCATGACTAGGTATATACTCAAGAGACTTGAAAGAAAGGGCTCAAACAGGCACTTGTACACCAATGTTCACAATAGGCAAAAGGTGAAAAACAAAATCCAACTATCCAACAGTGGAGGATAGATAAACAAAATATGATATATATATATATATGATGGAATGTTATTTAACTATAAAGACAAATGAAATCAAGTCCTGATACACTCTATGACACGGACAAACCCTGAAAATATTATGCTAAGTAAAATAAGTCAGACACAAAAGAATAACTATTGTACGATATCATTTATATGAAATATCTAGAATAGACAAAAGCATTGAGACAAAAGTTTATTAGTAGTTAGCAAGGTTAGGTGGAAGGGGGAAATAGGGAATTATTGCTTAAGGGGTACTGAATTTCTGTTTAGGATAATGAAAAACTTTTAGAAACAGATAATGGTGGTGGCTGTGCAGTACGGTGATTGTAATTAATGTCACTGGATTGTACATTTAAAAATATTAAAATGACAATTTTTTTGTTACATATATTTTACCACAATATACATTTTTTTTAATTCAATGAAAGGAATAGGGGATTAGATACATTTAAGAAAACTGGTGCCTCAGAGGAAGTCAGGAGACATAAAAAAGAGAATAAGAAGGCCCAAAGTATATCAAATAGTGATTGCAGGATTAAAAAAAAAAAAAAGTAACCTATAGTTTAAGAAGGGAGCCCTGGTGGTATAGTGGTTAAAGTGCTGGGCTTGGCTGCTAATCAAAAGCTTGGTTGTTCAAACCCACCAGCTACTCCATAAGAAAAAAGATGTAGCAGTCTGCTTCTATAAAGATTACAGCCTTGGAAACCATGGGACAGTTCTACACTGTTATATAGGTCACTATGAGTTGGAATCAAGTCAGTGGCAATATGTTTTGGTTTCCTGTGTCAAAGAGATGATAAGAGTTGAGAATTCTTCACAATTGGAAAAAAAATAAAAAAAGGTGTGAATCCATACTTAAGGAAGCACAAATAGCCTCAAATAGGAATAATACAATAAATCCTTGAGACACACTGTACAAAGCTAGAATACTAAAGAAAAGATGGCAAATTGGGGGGAAAAAAAAAAAAGATAATTTTAAAAAGAAAGTCCTAAAGACATCCCAACAGTAAAGACTTGTAGTGTGCAAAAAACCATTTTCCTAGAATATCATACTCAGCTAAATTATCATGTAAGAATAAGAGAAAAGAAAATCTACTCTAAAATAAGTAAAGGACAGTGTATACAACTCAGGATTGAAACAAGAAAGAAATTGTCAAAGAATAAAGAGCAAAATATTGGCAATCAGATGGATAAATCAGAATAAGGAGTGTCTCCATAAAACAATGATAATAAATGGAAGAAAAAAAAAACAATTGTAGTTGATTCCAACTCACAATGATATATGATATGTTACAGAGTGAAACTATTCCATAAGTAATCTTGGCTGTAATCTTCACAGAAGCAGATTGCTAGGCCTTTCTCCCTTTAGGTTAGTAGTTGAG